TAAAATTAACCATTTCCTTCACAAATGTGCTCAATTATAAGTCAGAGTTGAAGATTGACTTACACAGTTGCCAATATTCACTCCCAGAAGAAATTCAGACGCCCACATCACACATCCCTTCAAAAATAAAACCCTCAAGAATTTGGTTCACCCTCCTTTTCGAAACCTTGAAATGTGTCACCTCAAAAGAGTTATAAATGCAGTCAAAGATATTATCTAATTCCACACACCAAGACTAAAAAGCTTACACCTACTTCCTTGGAAAGTGCTTATTTATTTGGCAAAGCCATGATTTAAAAAAAAAAAAAAAATGGGAGTAAATCACTCCTTGCCTGAAGTCTCCTCCCTCCCCCCAATATAATGTCATCTACTTCCTGTGTAGGAGAGAGCATTTGCTAAATCCAGGTTGTCTCATACTTAACTGCCAATAAACCAACTTCCACATAACTTCCAGACAGCTGGGGAAAAGGTCCTCGGAGTTTTAGTCATGGTCCAGAAACACGCGTCCACACAAAAATCTGCAGCTGTCCCCTCTCTGCAGTGCATTTTTAATGTGATTCAGGGGCCCCTGTGGTGAAACCTCTGACAAAATGTAAAATCCTCTTAGATACTGTCCAGTTTACCCACTGCGCGTGTGTAAGAGAAGTTGCACCAAGAAACCTAGGCACTTTTTGCACACACCCAGGCACCTCACGGGATGTACGGAGGCATTCAAAACCTGGAAAGACTTCTGCTATATCCTTTAAAAGGGCAGCCCCTGGTGCAACTATTAAAATGCTAGTTCTCTAAAGCGAATATTTTTTTTAATGGCGTGCAGAACTATAGTGATCCAACGCTGCGAACAGAACAGCAGTCTTGATCAGCAAGGCCCTGGAAACCTTCCTATAACTTTTTCACAACTTGCTAAGAAATAGAAAGCTGACCAAGTTCCAGCACTGACTCTAAATGAAATCCCTATCAGCAAAATGAAAATCAAAGTGAAAAGCCCTAGCAAGACCAGGTATTGTTTTCCTCAAAATCTTTTCTCAATCAGAGATAGGGAGCATCAGTCAAAGCTACTTCCTTTAAGCAGTCAAAAGTTTCCAAAAACACTTCTTCCAGATAAGCACTTTAGGCTCCCAACTGCCTAAGAGTTTGTTTCTGGGGTTTCAGAAAGCTTCAATATCAACAAACTGGAAAGTGCTGGCATATTAAATTTATAATCATTAAGATATGACTTATTGGGTGAATGTTGACCACATAATCCATACTGCAGACATTAAACCACAACCTATAAAGATTAGTGTGGAATTAATACCGTTGCATTGAGATTGAAATCTAAACAGGCTGGCCATAAATATTTCTGAAGGAGATGAAAAACAATTAGCATAAATACCAAAGAAGGGCAAGAACACCTGTTCTTTTTCAGGACGATAAGCATTTTATTGTTCTCTATTTAAAATGTAATGACCTGTGTAATTACAGTAATATTACATTGTTATGTAGGGGCTTGGAATGTCACACTTTGAAAAGTGTTGTCAAAACAATCAGGAGTGAGGTGGGGGGTGGGAGAACAACAGGGAGGGACCACCATTAACCCTTCACACTCCAAGGTCTAAATCTTTTGTATTAGAAAGGATTATGTTGTTTGAGTGAGGAGAAAACATCCATTTTCACAAACCAGAAAGAGAAGTTGCCCGGCTAAATAAAACCCAATGAATAGGCCCCTCTTGGTTTCCTTTAAATGCTGGATTCTAAGTGCTGCTTATTTATCTGTCCAATTCTAGATGCTGCTTATTTATCTGTTCAATCTAGTAGCAAATAGCTCAGTTGCAAAGCAAATAACTTTGGATAAAAGAAAACGCAAGGGCTCTAACAGCCGATCTCTTAAAATGGAATTTCAAACCTAACTGGGATTTCAACCTCCATATTCCTATTTGTTTGCCAGGAGGGAAAAAGAACCGTAAAACTACTTTTTCCTATCAACTTTAATATGGTTGCAGTACTCTTACCTTCGGTACACAAATATTACCACAATTCTAATACTTGCAGTTCTAACACTTCCCATCTACTTAAGGAGATCGTTCCTTAATGCATTTTTGTATCTGAATCTGTCTTTCTAAAAGCCATTCCTATTACTGTATCAAAGACTAAATTAATGTTATGCAGAAATCTTTGTCGTTTTAAAATAAAATTACTATCAAGCTTTATGACGTCTTCAGCAATTAAAGCATTATTTTTGAGATAATGTATTATTCATCATAAACTGATTTAACGATACTCCTTAATTCTTTCCATTCTTAAATAGAAAAGCAGAAATCAGGGTTCCAGAGAGTTTGCAAAAAGCAAAGGATGCAGCTGCTTACAGGTACACTGGTAAGTAACAGAAAATGTAGCAAAACGCACCACCACCAAGGAGCAACGGAAAACAATAAAGCATACAGCTAATTTGTCTTTACACCTCGCCCTCAAAAACGACTCTGTAAGGCACTAAGGATTTCAGATGAGCATGGAAAGACCTGCTATCTTGCCTATAGATTCCTCCGGCAGCTGTATCAAATCTGGAATTGCAAGCTGGTTCTCTGATCCAGGACGTCAGGAGTGACACACAACAGCCTACCGACCTCATTTCCATGGCTCTGCAGACCAGCCTAAATAAATAACTTTAATTTTGGAGCACATAATCTAACCCAGGTAACACAGAGGAAGAAGGAAGGGGCAGTGTACACAAAGATGTCCGCTGGTGTTTGACATGTAAATACTAAAACTGCCTACTGAGTTCAGAAACGTCTTCTCAGACTCAATCTGATGTCACAGCACAAGGCCACCCGCTACGTCCACAATTAAAATCACTAGACGCCCTCTATTCCTATAATGTACACAAAGGGGACGGATCCTTGGGAGTCTTCCTTTTCGCACCAGGAAATCATTTATTTGCCTTTAACAATTTCCCTGTTTCCTAATTACAGCACAACACAACTGCTCAAGTTTTAGAAAAAGGGACGGCAAGAAGGCCAGCGTCAGACAGGGAGTTTGAACAGAGTCTAGAAAACCAGCAAGCCCGCCATCAAAGCTCAATATTCAGATGGCCTTTTCGATGGCTAAGTGGATTTTAAAATAATAGCAGGGAGCTTTCCGTCGTATGGGAGGGAGGGCAGGAGAAGGAGAAATTCTCAGGGTTTCTTTGGAATGTTGCTTGGTCGGGTTTGTTAGTACACCAACACTCCGATGCTGAGCCGAACAGTCCTGTTTAAGATGCCCCATAAGCTCCCAAGAAAAATACAAACTAACCTGACTGTGCTTCCCCTACAGCTGCAAGCCCAGAGCCCGGCCCCTGCAGCCTGGCGGAGCTGGCCCTGCAGGAGAAGGTCGGGCCGAACCGCTCCACAGCTTCCCAAGCATGCAGAAGCCTGGGCGCTGGGGGGGAGGGGGGAACAATTATTCCTCTTTCCTAGCCATAAAAAGTGACCGGTCTAGCATGCTCTTGCCATTTTGCCAGGGCCCAAAAAACAAGTCAAACCTGATAGTTAATATTTTAATGCTTAAAAACACTTGTAGATCTGATCGACTCTCGTCCTGCAAGCCCTCGGCCATTAGCACCGAATCCACGGCTGCTGAACAGTGGATGCATTATTTCAAATTACTATCTCGAGTTACCGAAAAAGAAAAAACAAAAGTAATGTGTGTAAATAAGGAGTAGGGGACCAAACCAGAGAAGGTGCAAAATGACAATCCCGGGAAGCCGGGCACAAACACGTCTTGCGTCCAGAGACTGTAATAGTGCTTTTCAGAGAGAGGGAGAGATGGGGAGGAGGGGGTTCAGGGTGAGGGCAGGGGGCAGGGGCCGGTGGGGTGCGGGGTGAGTCCGTATTAACAAATGTCAGGGGTGGGCGCAGGACGCACGCTGCAGCAAGCGCCCCCGGAGCCAGGCACCTCGCGCCGCCGTGGGGCCCCCAAAGTTGGGTGGCCGGCGATCAGTGGCCCAGTCCCTTGAGGGAAGGGCGCCCCTAGCCTCCCTCGCCCCCTGCACCCCTTTGAGCCCGCACATCCTGGTCTCTGGCTCCCCAGGGCCCACTCAGGGCCTACTCAGAAGCTGGCGAGCACAGCCCCCGCTATACACCCCAAGGCGCCAAAATTCCCTAGAAATACATCAAGTCCGCTCAAAGGAAGCCATCCAGCTGCACACAAACCAAGAACACGGGCCACAAGGGCCTCCCCGCCCCGCACAGCCCTGCCGCCCGGAGAGGCCCGAGAGAAGCCCGCAGCCAGTGCGCCGCCGGACCGCCGAGCCCGCCACGGTGCCCAGGGCGCTCGCGGCCCTGCGGGGTTGCCACAAAACAGGACGCCTTAGAGCCCCCAAGTTTGCGGTGGGACCAGTCTGGGAAGTTTGACCTTCCAGGGAAAGGGGGAAGGAGGGCCGAGAGCCAGTGACCGCCACTAGAAAGCTAAATAAATAGCCGCCCGAAAGAGAAAGCCGAGGCGCCTCTGCAGGGCCCCCGGCTCCGCGCGCTCGCCAGCTCTCAAGTCCAGCGCCTGGAGAAAAATCCACTCTCTACCCGCGCGCCGGGCGCAGCCCAGCCGCTCAGTGCCCGGCAGCGGCAGCCAAAGGGTTAACCGGGGAAAGCCCAAGACGCCAAAGAGGGAAGGAAGAGAGAGAGAGAGAGGGAGCAAAGAAAGAGCCACACAGTCATCTTCCCAGGGTGAAGAAACAACCACCACCACCAAAGGGGGAGGGGGAATCTGCGCAAAAAAAAAAGTTCTTCTGATTTTTTCCCCCCCAACAAAGCCCTGCTTGGACAGAAAGGTCTCCCCAACATCACGAGGCAGCAAACTGAAAGCAAGAACATGGCGAAGTGCGAACAAATCCAGTCCACAAAAGGCAGAAAAGTTTGGAGAGTTTCGGGCTGCCTGGGCCACGAGCGGGGGAGGGGAGGGAGGGA